GTTTGTGAAGTTGACGGTAATTTTGAAGTTAGTTTGTTCCTGTTCCGTAGTTAAAGTTGTACCGAGTGGAATAAAAGTTGGAAGCAGAAGAAAGAGTCGGCCATCCACGGTACAATACTTTGTTTTAAACACTACTTTTTGCTAATTTTAATATATGAGCAATCGCCAGCTCCTAAAGAGATAGAAGCGAAAACGCCTACATTTTAAGTGTCCTCGCAGGTAGAAGCCTGAAGAATAATTTATGTGGTCACAGATATTCAATCAGTCTTTAGGACCTTTTCGACAGCCTGCTTTGAGAACTATATTTTACTCTTTAGATTTAATTAGAAATGTCTAACTTTTTAGGAGATTAAGAAATAGAAGTAAAAACACGTGTTAATATTTAAAACTACGCTTTTAATTATTTGCATTCGAGCTGCGTCAATATGTGGGAAGAGCGATTTGAAACTGCAAGTTTATGCTCCTTTTCAATGTGTCATAAAAATCCTACAACAACTAATTCCAGAGTATAATTTTGATCACAATTTGTTGTGTTCAATGTAGTGATGTGTGCAAAAAATAGAAAAGGTATTTTTGAGAATTTTATTAGCTGTTTTTGAATAAAACTTGCGTTTTATCTTTTACCAAAGCGGTGTGTCTCATTTTTGAATATAAATTTAGTGTGCCACTGATATTTGTTTTTTTGATTTATTTGATAAAGCGTGCTCTATGTTTTTGTTCAGTAGATACTTTTCTGCAGTCCTACAGAAGGTGTCCTAATGCTAAAAGTTGACTTGGTGGTTCGTCAGCCCCAAATGCATCAATTAAACTAATTAAGTTTATTAAAAGCAAATTTATTAGATTCAAGTTTAATTAAGTCAAATTAGAATAGGCATCTTGCCTTTTAGGAAGATTTCCTTTTTCTTTCATGTGGTCTCTTCGCTCTCAATGACATCCGCTATTATCATGCCAAAAGCAATTGTGCCAGTAAAGTGTCGAATTAGAAACCACGAATGATACTTTGTGTCTGAACCTCGGTTCTTTTCCTTCTGGCCCTTGAGCATTAGTTGCAGGAGACGATATTTATCTCCCTTTATGAGATGTCCAAAATATGATTTAATTGTATATCTCTTTCTGGGTCTTATGGTCTCGAAGAGTTGCTTTTCGAATTTTGCTCTACATAGAACATTATTTGCTGAAACATGTTGTGTTCAGAGACTAGCACAAATACTGCTCTTTTGCCACGTTCGGAATGCATGGTGCTTCGTTCTGACCCCTAGAGTCGACGTCTTCAGTCTGTACAGAAATACTTTGTGTTCGTTTCGAAAAGTGCTTTGCGCGCTTCGAATGCGTTTCTCAAGCCGAACTGACAATTGTAAAAATCTTCAAAAGCCTTCTTTCATTTGCGTCTAATGCTAGCGTGAATAAATTCTGAGAAATACCTTAAGCATGTGGGACATGAAGCTTATTAAACAGTAATTATCAGACGTTTTTGGTTGTTTTAAGTAGAGCATTAAATGTCGCGCAAATCGAACATTCTCCTCTGTGGTCAATTCTAAAACTTCGTTCGGATATTTGGCTGGGTCACCCGCTATTCTATTTTTTGCTGTCGAGAATGAAAGCATTCCCCCTGCTTTAAGAGTTTTATCGGCTCGGTAAAATCTGAGGTTGTCTTTTATATATCTGGTCTATAGTTTCTTTAGGTCTTGTTATAGTTACAACAAGCTACAACTTTCGCCTTCCTTTAAAAAAAAAATCTCAGATAAGCAGCTTTTTTAGAAAAAAAGTATTTTCCATATTGGATGTAATATTACTACTCAAGAACAAAGACAGATGCATTCAATTATTGCAATTATTTTTACTTGAATGAATCCAAAAGTGCCATTTTTCGATCAGAAGCGATGATCAAAAAGAAGCACTTTTCTTTACTGTTCATTTATTTGTAACAAATTGAACGTGTCACTGTCATAAAATATTTTAAAGGCTTTTCAATAAAAAGTAGCCGACAGGCTTTTTTAATAAATTACGTAGGTGTATAGAGAACTATTGGTCATAATTTAAAGTTTACTTACAATTTGTAAATTATAACTTTGTTACAAGTTCAGTCTCAAAGCCGTTCAAATGGTCTATTTTTCTTCGTTCGCCGATGTTGCCACAAGCAAAACGCGATTTTTTTTAAAAGAGCAAATTTTATGCAAACTATGCATCTTATACAAATGCCATACCGAGAAGCACTTGAATTTTCAACACTCATTTTACAGTACACTTGTATATGTTGACAAAAGTACGGTTTTGAAAAATTACAAACGTCAAAACATGACAATTTCAAAAATGGCATTGACATCAAATTTTTAATAGGAAGTTGACGTCTTTTATTTTTGGCTATTTTTATTTATTATAACTTATTATTCGTGTTATGTCCTTTATTCGAGTAAAAAATATTGTTCGATACGAGGGCGAAAATCCGATTTGCGAACTCCTGAGGGAGTTCGAACCTGACCGACCGTAACCTGAAAACGTCGTCGTCGTTCGAAAAACGACACTTTTCGCCCTTGTATCAAAAACTACTATTATATTTCATATATATTATAGATATCTAGGTACCCCAATTTAACAAAACTGTTCTAATTTAAATTTTCGTTCACCCGACTAGAATGGTTAAAAATATTTTCTGATTAAGTAATTTTTAAGCCATTTAGCCGTTTTCTCAGAAACGCGTTTTATAAAACATCATGTTCACTAACTTCCCAATTTTGTGATCAGGAATTTTTAGGTGCCAGATACACAGCATAAAATCAGTAGATTGCGTCGAATATCTGAATAAAGACCACATCTCAATAAAAGTAGAGTTTTTATCATTCACTTTTGATTAAAGTTTTTTTTATATTAAGGAAATGGTGTTAGAAAATTTATCTTTTACGCCCACAAAGCTGCTATTTGTCGCTCTGGCAATTTTAGACTTTCGGCGCTACTCAACCACTTGGGTCTGCACCAGGAAGGTAAATTTCATTGATGTTAGTCATTGCATACATTTTAATTTTTGACGAGCGTAATAAAACTCTCCAGCCTAGCGAAGGAAGGCAGAAGAGCAACGCCGGAGACACCGGGCTTGCTATAATATGCTCCTTTGCTCTGCGATTATTCCTGTCGTATTCCTTATCTTTACTTTATTACTATCTACACATTATCTAAATACTTGTAAATCATACTCGAATAAATAATGTAAGTGCAATCAGAAATAACCCTTGTAATGAACAAACACATTTGGAGATGATTATGATTTTTGATACATGCTGTGAAACTAATATAATAAATTGGTTTTGATGAATGATAAATGAATAAGTTAACGTTCATAGGCGTTATGAGTTCTCTAAGTTTTTTGTGCCGTAATGGTTTTAGCAGATAATTAGATATCAACCTGATTTTATTCTGAACCAGGGCAGATAGATAATAGGGGCGTATCTATATAAATATTATGGCTATTATTCAGCTCCATAAACTAATGCTGCCTTGAATACTTCTAACAAATAAATTAAGGCGACGGTATGCGGTAGTTTTTATCTGCACGTAAAAATCAAAAGCGTAAATTTTTATAGCGTCGAACACGGTAATGGTTATTTACCTAACAGCGGGAAATAATTTACCGCACGCTGATTGCAGTTTCAGGCGCAGCGGATGTCAGCAATCAAGTGTGGTAAACATTTGACACTTCAGTGAATGTTCAAATAGTCTTTATTACCCTACTAGATTTTTTTAAATTTTTTGCGCATTAGTGTAGTAACATTAATATTAGA